ATTCCCTGGGTGATGGATTCTCTGGCTGAAAGGTGCTTGATTTTCCTGGAACCTTTCAACTTCTTCTTGTTCTTAAGCCTGCCTATTAAGTATTTCAGCATGTACACGGGCATTGTTCTCAACTTGTGCTAAAATGGACCCTTCGCTTTGCGATGTGAGCATCTACGGCTCTCAATCACGTACACTGACTAGCACTATATCGTCGAGTATGACATGTGTCGCCTCAATGAATTCATCACCACCAGGTCTTAGCACTGCAGGTAAACTACATTTGTTTGCAGTTATCATCCCAGACTAGTATGAATCTGACCGCATCCATAAACGAAAATGAGAAAGCTTGTCTGGGTGACAAGGTGAAATGTATAAGTGGACTCCGCCAGAATGACGAAAGTTGATAAATATGGGCATAACTGTCTTTTAGGTGAAGGAGGTGCAGTGGCAAGTGGCGTACTTCACACACGCATAGTAGCGGGTTCCAATCCTGGATCGACATCCGCCTAGGCCAACCATGTCTTCTATCCCTACGGAGCCGGTTAATTGGCAACAGGCTTGACTGGGAGGATAAGAGCACTGACGTGAACATCGGCTGGTCCCCGCAAGTCATTGTATAGGCCTTATACGCATTCGATACGCCACTGCGATTCTGAATAGAAGTGAAATGCGTGGGCGCATCCCTCTGACGGGATTGAATAATGCCCCAAGACTTTATCCTTTGCCCTTTAATTGTTTTTAGGGGCATCTGGTAAGAGAAGCATACCGAAAGTGGTACCAAAGAGGGGTGATGGGGATGATCATGGCAAAGAAAAATCCCCTGGAAACAATGAAGTTATCAAGGCTCCCCACGAACGCCTTCACCGGCAGCCCCGCCTTCGAATGCCTTGTCTTTACGAAGCAAAATGTGGAGCGCTTTCTTTCCTTTACCATGTACACTGTTGCTGCGCCCCTGCAAAAAAAACGATAGAGAGTCATTCTCGAAACTCGCTCAATCCAAAATTAAGGTGGATATCACTCTGGGTTTTTTTGACTGACTTTGGCTTTTTTACTGGCCGAGATTGCCATGACGGAAATAACATGGAAGGGATATTCGGACGAGATTGCAGTTATTGCAATTGCACAAAGAGCTGAATACATCAAGCCAGAACTGTGNTTCTATCGCCACTACTTGTAGAGAGCCTTATTTTCCGTGGAGTAAGCAGATTCTCTCGCTTTCTTCGCTACCGATGCACTACTCTACATCAACACTTCCTCTCTTCATCCTAGAATTGGTACCTCGAAATTATCGTGAACTGTGCCTTTAATTCCGGAATAATATTTCCTAACCAAGCCTTCCCTTTCCCTGGTGGATTAACCGGTGTCAGAGGCGTCTGGGATGATTCAAGCACTGACTTGTACATGAGCTGGTCACTGCAATTCATTGAATAGGCCAGATACATTCAGAAGCCACTACAAATCTGAATGGAAGTCACGTGCTTGGGTCCATCATAGTAAAGTGATTCATTCCCTGGGTGATGGATTCCCTGGCTGATAGGTGCTTGATTTTCCTGGAACCTTTCAAATTCTTCTTGTTCTTAAGCCTGCCTATTAAGTATTTCAGCATGTACACGGGCATTGTTCTCAACTTGTGCTAAAATGGATCCTTCGCTTTGCGATGTGAGCATCTACGGCTCTCAATCACGTACACTGACTAGCACTATATCGTCGAGTATGACATGTGTCGCCTCAATGAATTCATCACCACCAGGCCTTAGCACCGCAGGTAAACATTTGCTTGCAGTTATATAGTGCAGTATAAATCTGAGCACATCCGCAAACAAAAATGAGAAAGCTTGTCTGGGTGCCAAGGTGAAATGTATAAGTGGACTCCTCCAGGGAAATGGGAGTTGATAAATATATGGGCCTAATTGTCTTTCAGGTAGGAGGTGGTGCAGTGGCAAGTGGTGCACTTCACACGCGCATAGTCACAGGTTCACATCCTGGATCGATATCTGCCTAGGCAAACCAAAATTTCTGTTCCTACGGGGTCGGTTAATTGGTAACAGACTTGACTGGGAGGACAAAAGCTGCGACTTGTACATCGGCTGGCCACGCAAGTCATTGTATGTATAGGCCACACACTCATTCAATGAGTCACTACGATTCTTAATAGAAGTCCAATGCGTAGGCGCATCCTTTGGCGGGATTGATTCACGCTCCAAGGCTTTATCCTTCNCAATTGCACAAAGAGCTGAATACATCAAGCCAGAACTGTGAAGAGTTGTCCTTCACTGTCGCTACGGGTCATGACAAGTTGTATGACTTCCTACATGGATTCCTTTGTGATCGGTGCAGCCTCCATAATGCCGGTGAAACTCGTCCAAGGATACACACGGGCCAATCTTTGAGCCTTTATAACTCCCTAACAAGGCCGTTTTCCGACTTAATAGTGCCAGATATAGTATATGCGGGGGCCAAATTCATCCTGTGGGGGAATGTCAGAAACCATTTTTACGTGAACTGTACCTTTAACGCTTACTTTCCGATAACTATCGCAGGATTTACCTTCATTTTACTACCTTCGTCGTGAACACATATATCTGTTCTTAGAAGCCTCAATTCGAAAGGTAAATTCGAGGGTCTCATTATGCAAGAGCTTAGGGGAGTTTTCCATTGCTACTACGCCTGTCTTATACCTTGCTCTAAATTCAACCAGAAATACAGAATGCCCCATTTTCAATTGGAAATGGATGGCCATGAAAGGGTACCTGAATCGTTCACCAATGCATCAGCTTTGACGACAACCACTCCGAATAATTCCAGTAATAATTTCAGAGCTGATTGTCATAATAGCTGTGCCATGTTTCTGTTTGACGGTGATCTGTGTGGCTTGTGCAGTGGCCTGCTATAAACGAGCCAAATACCACGCTCAACAATGGAGACGCTTTTGGCAGACACATTCTGAGCACACACATGAGGATACGTAAGTTTGAGCAGTCTTGATAGATACATGGGCCTCATTAGAGAGGGATCTTTTCATAACCTTCGACTACTTTCCACCCTTTCATGCCTTCCTTATTCCACCAGCTATTCCTCTTTTAGAAGAGCTTTCCCATTTTGGCTATACCGAATTCAAAAACATGCTCTACCGACCGAGTGGGTGCTTATGAGATGAGGAAAGTCACTCCTCTATCTCCCTCAGTCACGGACTCCGAAACCTAGACAGGGGGTCGAAGCTTCTCAACGGGCCTGTGGCTGATTCGCCTTATGGCTATAACGCATAGGAACCAACAAAAAAGTTGTCAGCCCGTCGAGTTGGAGTGAGGGCCACCTGAATGCGGAATTCGGGGTTCATCTCGAATAACGATTGTTGAAGTTTCTAAAAAATAAAGTCCCCATAAAATTAAACTTAAATAACATGAGTGACCAACTGACGAGTAGTCCGAAAGAGAATAACTCGATGATGGGAATATTTACTGCTTACGCCTATGCCCATTTCAGGACCATGACTTATAGTATGTCGCATTTACCTCATCCAGGCAGTTTGGTCATGGCGAGTCACTATATGGATGTTAGGATATTGGCTGAAGCTAACAGGTTCGTTTTGGAAGAAGTAGACGAGTCAAGAAGTAGAATCTCAAACAGACTACCATTGGAACTGCTTCTAGGAAGGACAACTGGGAAGTGTCGCTAACAAATCTTACCATACACGAAAATGAAATTCTTGGGAACGGAGCTTTCGCAGTCGTTCACAAAGCCACCTTGAGAGGTAAGCGGTAAGTTTCACCATCTCGGATAGAAGCAGGTTTGTGGCTTTTACCCAACTTTACCCTTATCATTCGCAAATGAGAACTCTGAGTCTTTAGAGCGCAATTTTGGGACCTTAGTTCGCCATAACAATGCCAATTGTCGACTTCTCAGCGCCAAAGTTCCTTCTTCTTCTTCTCCTGTAAAACTGATGTGAACACAAACTGTGCCTCCAGAAGGACCAGTACGCCACACTCCACCGAAAAGGAAGGTTTCGATGAGCAGCGGCCTCTTACTGACCCACCTAAACCTCTGCATGAACATGTTTCAAAGAGCTTGACATATCGCGCCTGCTTCCACACCGACGAGTGTGGGTCAGAAGGTGCCATCTAGGACGATGCCATAAAATTAGGTCATGGCACATGGAGATTGCGGGTGGTCGGGCTGGTGTCATCCTCAGAAGCTCCGACATTACGCTACCTATTGATAGTGAGCCAGGTTTCTGAGGGAAACCTCTCTCCCTGCCCTTTTTAAAATGGTTTCTTTCTCAGCGGAAAAAATTAATCGACCTAGCGATCACAAGCAAAAGTTGGATTGGCAACAACACCGTGAAGGAGAATGCTTTGCTACCTAACTTTCAGTAATGTCTGTACTTGAAGTGGACCTTTTCAGGGAAAATTCCGCTTCTGGTCATAAATCCCCGCTTGAACTTAGTCAGTGAACACGAACAAGACAATGGGACAACCGAGGTATTATGCGTTACCGAACAAGGTTCTCCAAGCTCTTATAGACCTCGTCTAGGCAGCCGTTAAACGTCTACCTGCACATGCCAATGATCAGAATCGTATCGATTTCTTCCATGAGATCAGTTTCATGAAAAATCTTGGTTATCATCCACATGTGATCAGGTGAGTCACCTTTTCAAGAAATTTTCGGCTACTGATGAGAACGAAGGTCTTGACAAATGAAAGAGTATAAAAAAGCATTCTCGCGCATTTCGAGTCATTCCATGTGTAACAGGGAATCAAGAGCGCGCGCGCAAAATCAATACCTATTTTAAAGTGCAGACAAAAGGCATCCTAAGCAGAAATTTCGTTTTTACATCCATCTCAGTGAATATTTCATTCATTTACTTATTGTTTTTATGATGTTACTAGTACTTCGAACCGATTGGAATAACAGGTAGAGTAACTGAAACAGTTTTTAGCATGTTGGGTTGCATCTCATGCACAGACACTCCAATGATTCTAGTGGAATACTGCGAACATGGCGACTTGTTACGGTTTCTAAGAAAACATCGGGATTTTATTCTTATGGTAAGTGCTTTCTCATACGGTAATGTTTCGAATGGGAGATGAGCTCGTTGTTTCATAGGTTGGAGGCGGTGGCCGCTATGGGCCAAGACACCGCCATTGCGGACGCCGTTCCAAATGAATTAACGTATCAGAATTTATGCGGTTAGATCAGGGGCAGGGAAAATTGAAAAGTTACTCATAAGCAGCCTCTCATCAGTCTTCAACATAAAGGCGAAGCTGATCAGGAGGGTTACGACTGGAACACATGAGGCCTCCTTGCACGGTGACCTGGTTTCAACACCTCATCGGTCTCTGATGACCTATTACTTGGTGCATCCTTTTCTTCCACTTCCTGTACCCTCTGTTATGTCACTGGGGATTTGGAAAGCACAATTACCCTTTAGCCCACCCAGAATCCTCCTATAGGCGCAACTACTTTCTTGCTAACTTTCTTTTTGATCTTTCTCGACGTTTCATGTGAACGGTGAAATTGGGTGAGCACGTAGGCGTACTCTCTATAAAGGCTTTGGCTGTAGGGCAAAAGTTGCCCATCAACTGATTAAGAGTGGGTTACGGTTGCTAAGGTCCTAGCCAAACGATTATGCTTTTTTTTAGCGTATTCACTGTATTTGAATCCTTACGACAAGGAGCGAACATTTTCAGCACGAAAACGACGAATGCCCGATTGATGCGGAACTCTGCCTTCGGATCAAGGATTTGGTTTCTATCTCCTGGCAAGTTAGCGATGGCCTTGTAAGTTCTTAAGTTTCATCCTACAATAATTTTATAAAAAAAACGATCACATACGATCCCAAAGGCTTACTCTCAAGTTAAAGTAGGCCTCGCATGTTTACGTAAAATACTGTTCCATATACATAGAATCGTTTTTTCGAGTACCTTTGAATATGTTCATTGTGTTAAACCGCTGAGGAGATAGAAAAGCGCACTATGCCTCAGTTAGTCCTCTGTAACGAATTCCATTGAAGCCAAACCAAACAAAAGCAGGGGCTCTCATCCCACAAAGCTCGAATAATTGATAGTAGCTCTATTTGATTGAAGTAAAAGCTAAGGCCTGGGCATTGCAAAACAGTGTATGGGTGCCAATAGACCGTGTCCACGAATCTAAAGCAAAGTCGAAAGAGTGTGTTGTAGGGTATTATTGAGCGTTATCAATTGTACATGTAATCACAGACTTTGCAAACCCGCGCGTTGTACGTAGCTCTGTTTGAATGATACCCAGAGGTTTTTATGACTTCAGTTCATTCTACTAGTTGGTTTTGGCCAGGAATATAATTCGCCTTTGGCGGGATTCTTTGCCTGTGAAGCGCATTTGCTACAATTCCTGACAAGTTGTTCGATGTCGGTATCCAGTGTTGGCCAGTAGACGTAGCTTCGTGCTAACATATTCATCCTTGTATGTCCTGGATGAGCCTTGTGCAGTGTCGTAAGTACACGGCGTTGTAGTGATCCTGGTATCACTATTCGAGATGCGGTGAGTAGACAACCGTCGACGGTCGTAAGAGAATCTCGGCGGTTATAGTAGTGCCAGAAAGGAGGGTTGCGCTCGATCGCGGGCCAATTTCCAGACTTGATATAGCCGATGATCTTCCTTATGACCTGATCAGCTCTTGTAGCAGTCCGGACTATTTCGGCAGAGACCGGAAGGTGACGGCAGTTTTCGATAAGCTCTGCGGTCACATCGACATCTACGTTGGCGATAACGTAGTCCTCCGGCGTTGATGGGTGCGACGCTATGAGAAGTGAGAGAGCGTCCACTTGTCCGAAATCCTTTGTGTTGACATACTCGATTGCGAAGTTGTAGTTGAGTAACATTGTGGCCCATCGCTGAAGACGGTTGGCACTGTAAACAGGTATTCCTTTCTTGCTTCCGAAAATAGCAACGAGTGACCTCATGTTACCTCAAGAAGACGTCGCTGATGGACAACGAGACGTCAAAATGGAAACACAATTCAACCGAAGACACGGAGCACTACATCGCAAGTTCGAATACAACGACACTGTCTGCGCCAAAGACTACAGAAGAACTAAGCAGTCTTGGTTTCCGGGTGTCATCGTTCGACGTGTTGGAAACACAACATACCTCGTACGCTGCGGAAATCTACTATGGAGCCGGAAGACACGTGAACCGACTACGACCTAGAAGCAACACAACCACAACCACAACTACAAACACTCTTCTAG